CGCGTCTGCGAGCATCGTCCTAGAGACCTAGACACAGGTGGGCAGCGGCAAACTTGCCCGAGGCTTTCGCCTCTTGGTGTGTTTCTGTGTTCACCGTCCCCGAGTCCAGCAAACTCTGAATGCGTACTGTACCTGTGCCTTTGTCCAAGTGTGGCGCTTGTCACTTCTTGAGTAGTTTTCTGTGCTTGGTCATTTAGAAAAAAGATTGTAACTTAATTAGTAGAGTCCTCTATTAGACCTGGTGAAATTTCATATGCTCACTCGTTTGTCTGACAAGTATGATTTTCTTTTTTTTAAAAAAATATGTTTTTATTATTTCAGAGAGGAAGGGAGAGGGAGAGAGAGATAGAAACATCAGTGATGAGAGAGAATCATTGATGGGCTGCCTCCTGCAGGCCCCACGCTGGGGATCAAGCCCACAACCTGGGCAGGGAATCCAACCGTGACCTCCTGGTTCATAGGTCAAGGCGCAACCACTGAGCACCCTGGCCAGGCAAGTATGATTTTCTTTTTACTCTTTCGCCTTTTTCCTTAAGGGTTCATTTCTTCATTGCCTAGAGAGAGCTACCCTGCCCCTCACAGATGGCTGTGTGTCCTGAGAGATTATCTTTAAACGGACACGTAGAGTTACCTATAGACAAAGAAGGATCAATTACTAGGCTCACCTTTGTCCTTACTGAAGCAAGAGGCCTAGTTGGGATGAGGATGTTATTCATGGTGTGACAGCCTGGAGGTTGCTAATCTGTTTGGTCATCAGCAGATTCCTGCAGGGATTGTTTATATAGTGTGGGAGGCAGATGGCCTCCCTCACTAGGGGAGCTTCGCATAAAGGGTCATTGTGTTCCTGCGAAATTAGCCGCCTCACTGTTGGGAGATGGAGTGGGGTAGGGTAGAGGGCGGGGAAAACATCATCTTGATCTTTCAAGGGAGACCAGCAGCCTAACCAGTTCAATTCTCCTTTCTCTGTACGTTTAAAAAGTCATACTTAAGCTGTTTGTTTTGATTATTTCTTTGGCACACTTTGGCCTCACTTGTGGTTATGTGGAGCAGTTTAAACAGTTTTATTAATGAAAAGTGTCTTTGCATTTAATACGATGGCACCACTTATGGGGGGAAACAGTCATATGTTCCCGAGCTCTTGTTCATGTCACAAATGGCTCCTGGGACGCGTAGTGTCAGCTAGCTGAAAGGACTTCAGTGCGGCTGCATTAATCCCATTCGCTCTAAAGGAGTTTCTTCCACCATCGCCAGGACAGGTGGTTCCCAACTCTCAGGATTTGCTCCCCGCCCAGCCCCCCAGCTATGGGTCACTTTACCGTGCCCTCCATCACGACATTGAGCAGCCTGGGGCCCTGAGTCTTTCCTGCTCCTGCCACCATGGTCGATCGTTTATGTGCTGCACATCGCCACGCGATGACAGAAATGGTCTTCCCTCTGTGCACGTGAGGGAAGAGGTTCCAGCAAATGAATACTCACCGGCCACAGGACACAGTTTAACGAAGAGCATGAGCAACGCGGACCCCCTCTGAGCAGAAAGTGCGGGATGAAAGGGAGCATTGGCTCTGTTTCCCATGGGCCATGCGCACGTTTTCTTACTCTGTGAAAGCCTTGTCCGTCACCGTCTCAGCAAAAGGCAAAGCAAGGAAGGTTGTTACCTGGGACTGAGGACAGATGCTACGGCCTTTCTTCTGGATGAATGTGTCTTGCAGGAGAGGTGGCTTTTGGGCTCTGCCCAGCATGCTCTGGCATCAGGGAAAGGATCCGTCGTTCAAAAACTTGTTAAGTCTGTGGCTGGTACCTGGGTACCATCTTACCAGGATGCTGTCTCCTGTGAAGTGTTCCTTTAGGAGGCACCTAAGGCTCCAGACCTGGGCTTGCTGTGGCCCTGGTTTGGGCCACGCTCCAGCTTGCTGCTGCTGCCTGCTTCCGCGGGGGAAAAACGGACCAGTTTTGCATGGTGTGTTGGGTAGGGAATTGCCAGCTTCCTTGTGGAGAGACAGACCTGTCCTGCAGGAGAGAGGACTGCGTTTGCATTTTGGTTGACCTGACGGAGGCAGGGGTGGCTTCTTGGCGCGTAGGATGTCTCTGGAATGAGGGTGTCAGTGAGGGATCAGAAGGCTGACCGGACCTCCTGCTTTGCCTGCAACAGCCCCAGTTAATTCCTGTTGACCTCTCTTACCAAACTATCAAATGCATCCCTTTCATACATACAAGCGTCCTGGTTTGGATGATAAGTTATATGATCATTCCTACATGTTAAGGAATCTTGACTGTTTACTTTACCACCCTTTCTTGACCTCGCATTTTGAGTTTTGCTTTATTTCAATCTCTTATTGTTCAATGCAAAGATAACAAAAGTAAAAACAAACAAATAATATATGCATATCAAAAAAAATAGCAAGAAAGATAGAAAAAGAAGGTAAATGGATCGCTTGCCGTCTATTTACATATATAGGAAATAAAGTAGCTGCATCTGTACGTTGTTAAGTGTCTAGAGTGGTTCTAAGCCTATGCTATCATTGTCTTCAAGAACGATGAGAACGAACACTTCCCCGTTTACCCAGGGCTGACACGAAATGGGACAACTCTTGTGACTCGGGGGAGCAGCTCAGCAAAGCCTGTTTGTAGGCCTGCTGGGTGCGTGGCTCCGGCAGATAGGAGTAAACGTTTCGGGACCGAGGGTCTGGTCCAGGTTCTGGAGATTTGCTGAGAGTTCAGAGCACAGGTGTTGTGAGGACTCGACTCCACATTCTCCGAGTTTCCAAGCTCTCTGGGCCCCACGGCTGATGGAGGAGCCCTTGTGTTCTGTCCTCTCTGCTGGCCCCAGCCTCGGGCTTGGGTCCCAGCTAGGGTGCAGAGGGCCTGCAGAGGAGAGCTGCGGAGCCTGTCCCCGTGGGAACGTTTTCCCAGGGTGTGAGGTTGTGCAGGTGACCTGGCAGGGGTTTGGGTTCCAGGGCTGGGTCTATGGTTGGCAGCACCGATTTCTGCAACAACTGTGCTCCTTTGCGTAAGAATCGCCTGTCTTTCATAGTTCAATGGCAGTGGTGGCCAGTAGGTGTTCCAAGTAATTATGGCTGTCACCTTTTCCATACTCCCTTACAATCCTCAGAAGCTTGGTCAGCATGTCTGAATAAGAAGAAATGTATGTATTTCTTTTATAAGTAGGATGACTATGTAAATTTTTTTTGGTCCAAACAAGGACATTTCTGAGAGTAAAAAGGGAGCACCAGATCAAGAACTATATAACCCAGGGCTCTCCCAGGAAAACTGTGAAATATGGTTGTCTTAACTATGACCCAAGTCATTCGTTTTTTTTTTAAAAAAAATATTTTTATTGAATTTTAGAGAGAGAGAATAAGGGAGATGGAGAGAGAGAAGCATTGATGTGAGAGAGAAATCAGCTGCCTGCTGCACACCCCCTACCAGGGATTGAGCCTGCAACCCGGGCATGTGCCCTGACCAGGAATCGAACCAGCAACCTTTCTGGGCACGGATGGTGCTCAACCAACTGAGCCACACTGGCCAGGGTGTCATTAGCTTTTATACGAAGAATACCCATAGGATAGAAAAATGTCCTTAGCTTCTAGATTAGTTCATCACATATACATATATATGTGTGTGTGCATATATACTTATATGTATATGTTTATACAAACATTGATCATATGTCTGTAGATACGTATATTGTGGGGTTGAGATGAACCAGTTAAGAAGGCCTAGTCCAGCGGTTCTCAATCTGTGGGTCGCAAACAATGAAAATACATCCTGCATATCAGATATTTACATTACGATTCATAACAGTAGCAACATCACAGTTATGAAGTAGCAACGAAAATAATTTTATGGTTGGGGGTCACCACAACATGAGGAACTGTATTAAAGGGTCGCGGCATTAGGAAGGTTGAGAACCACTGGTAGTCATTTGGAAAACTGTGGCCTTCATCATCTCTTTCAAGGATTGACTTTTCAGCTAAACTCTCAGCAACCAGCCTTTCCAAACTTGAATTCATCTCCTCACCTGGGTAATTGTGATACCGATCCTGTTGGTATAATTTTCTTGCTTGAAAATCTTCACCAGCTCTCCATTTTCTGTTTAAGTCTCAAGGTGAGATCCCAGACAGTTTGGTGGTCAGAAAGAAAAAGCAATGAAAAGTTCCATTCATTCATTCCACTACTATTTATTGAGCCCTCCTGTGACTCAGTCTCTGATCTAGCTGCCGGGAAATACTAATGAATAAAACAAAGATCCCTGCCCTTGTGAAGTTTTCTTTGTATTGGGGATGGAGGGGTGGGAGTGGGAGACAGATAATAAACCAAATAAATAAGTAAATTGCATGGCATGCCAGGTAAGGAGGCAAGTGCTTTGGGAAAAAGAGAAAGTAGAGCAAGGTAAATATGGCTGAGCAGGCTTCATGGTGAAAGAGACCTTAACAAAGACTTAAAACAGCGGTTCTCAACCTGTGGGTCGCGACCCCTTTGGTGGTCAAACGACCCTTTCACAGGGGTCACCTAAGACCATCCTGCATATCAGATATTTACATTACGATTCATAGCAGTAGGAACATTACAGTTAGGAAGTAGCAACGAAAATAATTTTATGGGTGGGTCACAACATGAGGAACTGTATTTAAAGGGCCAGAAGGTTGAGAACCACTGCCTTAAAAGGAGGCGAGAGGCGTTATTCATGTAGATACCTGAAGGTGGGTGTTCCAGGCAGAGGGAACAGCCATTGTGAAGGCCCAAAGGTAAGAATGTTCAAAGGTTAGCAAGATGGGGTGGGGTGGCCAGGGGGGTGGTTGGAAATGAGATCAGAAAGGCAGTGTAGGAGTGACAGAGCATGTATGAGAGTGTTTGTGATTGTAGCAGAAAGCCCCTCATGTTCTTAAAACTCACAATATTAAACATGGTGTCTGTGCTATGAACACTGCACTGGTTAACCTAGCTCACCTTACCCAGGGTGCCCTTTGTCTTGGTTAGTATACTTCTTATATCACTTGCTTGTTCATTTGTTAAAATACCATTTTGGTTGTCGCTGGCCTTAAGTGGGCTTCCCATTTCACAAAAATACATAAGCGGCTCAAAAGTGGTTCATGGAAGAGTGACAATAGTGATGAAGATAGTCATACTAATGCCACAGTTCAGTGCATCATAAACATACTTAGAGACCCGAATCTCACTGCAAAGATAAAAGGCGAATCTCTGTGTCTAAAACCAAGGGAATCTGTGGGAGCAACAATTTCAAAACAGTACCTGAAATTGACAAGTGCCGATGGAAGTGTGACAATGGTCTCAGAACTGTTTATCGTAGGGTTTACCATCCCTTTGCTCCTACTCCCCCGTCATCGCCTGTTATGAAACGTTGTCTAACTGTGGCACGAAGCCATGGGTGTTTTGGTGTCATTTTCAAACAAAGCACAGTGGCTTCTCTGTTACGCGATTGAAGTTTTCCAGGACACGCCCACAATAAAGCTTTCCATGACAAAATTAATGGATGCCATTGCTGCATGTAGGGAAGAGACTAGAACTCTGGTAGCATCCTTAGAGGGTCCTTGGCGCAAAAATGAGCCATATTATTGAAAAGACACTTGGAAAGTCAGCGGGGAGGTGAGAGACACACATTATCCTTAGAAACCAGAAGTTATCGACAGAATTCCTTTGTCAAATGACACGGTTGGCTGTTGCATCACATCAGTGGAGTAAGAGTGAGAGAGCGATTCCTATCAAGTACACGCCAGTGGGTATTTCGCTTTCTGGCTGGATGAAACCACCGGTGTCATGCAGAGGATGAATCAGCTCTTGGCATCTGTTCAGGGAGGAGTGCTTGGCGCGAGGCTTTGTTTATCCCCGAAAACCGGAGCGATGAGGCGAAGAGGTCTTTCTTTTCGTGAGCCATTATGCATGAACCTGGAAGGGTTAGTCAGGGGGCAGGACGACAATGCACTGGTTTTATGTTCAGATAAGAAGGTGGTGGCTTTGTGAAGAAAGGAAGTTGCACCTAGAAGCCCATCTGCAGGCTGCTCCATTCACAGAGAAGGTAAAGGGCCTCTGAACTTGAGGAAATACTAACAGGAAGAGGGGAAACTGGATGCAGTGACATTGGGATCCCTGTGTAGGTGCGTGCAGTGATGGGCAGGGAGTCTAACACTTCTCCACGCAGGTGGATGCTGGCTGTTTAGGGAATCGCGCTCATGTCATGTTTTGCCAGTGGAGTAGGAAGTACATTTATTTCTTCACGACAGTGATTAGAAACGAGTTCCCTCACATCAAGTGGCAGACCTCAGAAATACACTCTCCCACAGTGAGCCATGCCAAGGACGGGCAGGGAAGGAAGACTTGTTAACAAAACATTGTGCCACAGCCCTAGCTGGTTTGGCTCAGTGGATAGAGTGTCAGCCTGTGGACTGAAGGGTCCTGGGTTCGATTCTAGTCAAGGGCGCATGCCTGGGTTGTGGGCTTAATCAATGAATCAGTGATTCTCTCTCATCATTGATATTTCTATCACTCTCTCCCTCTCCCTTCCTCTCTGAAATTATATATATATATATATTTTTTAAATTATATATATATATATATATATATATATATATATATATATATATATATCTCAAACAAACAAAAGTTCTGCTACAATCTTAGCACTAGGAACTTTTTTTTGTTAAAAGAGTAGGAAGTCTCGCCCCGACTGGTTTGACTCAGTGGATAGAGTGTTGGCCTATGGACCGAAGGGTCCCGGGTTCGATTCCAGTCAAGGGCATGTGCCTTGGTTGTGGGCACATCCCCAGTGGGGGGTGTGCAGGAGGCCGCTGATTGATATTTCTAGCTTTCTATCCCTCCCCCTTCCTCTCTGTAAAAAAACCAATAAAATATATTAAAAAAAAAGTAGGAGGTCTACACTGACCGTAATGGGTTAAGGCGGCAATTTTTTCAGTAATAGACAGTCCTTTCGATACTAAGCATACTCCTTGTCAGTGACCCGTTGGAAGAATGAAAGCACAAAGAAATGGAACTTAGGCCCAGGAATTCCACTGGGTATTTGGGAGCCTATAGAGACCCATGGTGGGAGGAACCTGGGCTTTGGGATTGTGCTTTAAGATACTGGGTGACGTGGGGTACAGGTACGAAGAGGTCACGTCGCAATTGGACATGACCTTTCTTATACTTTTGCCTTAGGCTTGGCCTCATTTCAGACAAATGGACTTGATACTCAGAGGTCTTCAGGACATGATGTGTATTGCCCCTGACCTCAGCTCGAAAGCATGAAGGGTCTCTAGTTTTCTTGGGCTCTCTTTGCACAGGCCTCCCACCTGGAATGCCCACCAATTCTACTTACTTCTCCAGGCTCCACATCTCCATTGTCTTCCTGTAAGCAAGTAAAAACAGTGTTTTCATCTTCTTCTCCCCACCTTACCCTTCTGAAGAAGAAGGCATTCCTAAAAGTAAATGCAGCTTCCTTTACCAGTGCTTGACCGTAATGGTGGGGGTAGAGTGAGCACCATAATTGGGGAGGGGAGGGGAGGGGCGTTAGTGGGAAGTGTGTTTGATTTGACATCTCCCCCCTCCCCCCACACCCCTGATGCAGATATGGCACCCTGCCTGGGAATCACCAGTGTAGAGCGACTCGGTGGTGCTTTAGGGGGTGCCCTGCTTGTTCCTGGTAGTCTTTTTGCCAACTAGACTTCAAGCACTCTGAATATATGGCACATTGGCCGACCCCTCTGTATAATGCCAAGTATTGATCACAGAATAAGTGTGCAATAATCAATGCCTGATGGCTGAAGGAACCATCTGCTTTTTCTTCTCACGGACCATTATGAAAGGCTGTTATTTATGTGAGTCCGATATTAAATTGGCACAGATGCTGAAAGATGAACATTTTTGTCGTTTTAAAATGGCAGGAAGTCAAGTCTTGGAGGTCTCATTCATTCAGAGAATTCTCATCGCAGGAACCGCCTTCTCCTTTTGTAAGTGTGCTGACTTCTTGCTCTTCTAAGTGCAGTTCACACACCAGCAGCATCTGGTCACCTGTTAGACACGCAGACGTTCAGACCCCGTGCCAGACCCACTGAATAAAAAATCAGAATCTGCGTTTTAACAAGATCCCCAAACGTGTTGTGTGCACGGTGAGTTGGAGAAACACTGTTGTAACTCAGAATTCAGGAAGTGAGCAGGAACATTGACCTGCAAGGAGAAGCCATCTGGAAATGAAGGTCTTTTGGTCTGTGGGTGAGGTCCTCAGTGCTGTCTGCCATGTGGCCTGGACTTAGACTTCTTGGAGCAGGTTGCCAGGCCAGCAGATGCCCCTGCAGGCACGCCCTGGAGGGATTCAGAACTGGGTGATGCCCAGATGATAGACATGACGGTGATTCCGAGGAGGTGAAGCAGCTGTTGGAGTGAGACACCAGGAGACCTTGGCAAAGGTAGAGGACGTGGCCACCCAGGCTACAACCAGAGAGAAGGGAGGAGGGCATCCCTTTATGATTGGAAGAAACCTTGACTTTCGGGATTTGGACTCAACCCCTTCAGAGGCAGCAGGTCACAGATGAAACCGCCTGGATGCGTTGTGCGTGGAAAGCCTGCGAAGTGGTGAGGATCACAGAGAGGAGACATTCTTTTTTTAAAAAAATATATTTTATTGATTTTTTACAGAGAGGAAGGGAGAGGGATAGAGAGTTAGAAACATCGATGAGAGAGAAACATCAATCAGCTGCCTCCTGCACACCTCCTACTGGGGATGTGCCCGCAACCAAGGTACATGCCCTTGACCGGAATCGAACCTGGGACCTTTCAGTCCGCAGGCTGATGCTCTATCCACTGAGCCAAACCGGTTAGTTAGGGCAGAGAAGAGACATTCTTTATCAGAGGACAAAGAAGTGTCACCACTCAGCTCACCCAGCTGTTGCCACATGGGAATTTAGTATTTTCAGAGTTTTCAAATGAAGCTGAAGATGTCCATTTGTATGTAAAGCATCTCTTGACTGTAATATGTTGGTAATTAAAATGTTTGTAGAACAGCTCAGGCCACACAAAATCCACATGTTTCCTGCATCTGTTTTACAACCCCGTTCTGGAGCAACAAAGCATATGAGGTGGCACGATTCCTGGCTTTCTTAGGGCAGGGCACCAAGCACAGATAGAAGCGTTATGGTCCTGGAGGGACCCTTTCGAATTTTTACTAAATAAAAGAAATAAAATTGTTGGCCGGCCTGGCTCAGTGGTTGAGTGTCCACCTATGAACTAGGAGATCATGGTTTGATTCCCAATCAGGGCACATGCCTAGGTTGTGGGCTCGATCCCCAGTGTGGGGCGTGCAGGAGGCAGCCCATCAATGATTCTCTCTCATCATTGATGTTGCTATCTCTTTCTCCCTCTCCCTTCCTCTCTGAAATAAATAGAGATATATTTAAATAAAAAAGAAATAAAAGATATAAAAAAAAGGGAACTGTGTTTGCTTTGATGATCTGACTGAAAATATAATATACTAGAGGCCTGGTGCACGAATTCGTGCACGGGTGGGGTTCCTCGGCCTGGCTGGTGATCGGGGCCAGTTGGGGCCATCTTGCCCAGTCCTGATGGGGGGTGGACGTCTGGGAGGAGGGACCACAGGAGCTCCTGTGGGAGCTCACTGACCACCAGGGGCAGCTCCTGCGTTGAGCATCTGCCCCCTGATAGTCAGTGTGCATCATAGCTACCGGCCGGTCATCCAGTAGTAATGATTGCTTAGGCTTTTATATATATATAGATACCTGAAGAACCTCAGTAACTAATCGTGTTTGAAGGAAAGAGGTAGATGCCTAAAGGAATAAAACGTAGGCCCTGAAAATCTGAAATGGAAGGAAGCCTGGGTTGGGATGCTGGTAGGAATGGAGACATGGACGTTTCTCTGCACCCTCAGGCTAGGAACACACACTGCAGAGGGCAGTCAAGGCCGGGGGGCTAGACCCTACCTGGACCTTCTTGTGCTGGGAGAGAGGTGTGACTGGAGAGAGAATTTGAGTTAATTTATCTTTGGCATCTAGTTGTTGATTTGGGCAGCTGCTAATATTTGATGTTTGTTAGAATTGGGTTTTTAATTATAGTTTGCTATGTTAAAATTAGAATTTTGTATATTTTGAGACTGAAAACTAGGAGAAGGAATCAAAATTCTTTCCAAAGACTTACTACTGATTTTTTTTTTTCTTGTTAACAACAAAATTTCCTGTGGGTCCGGACTGCTGATGGCTTGTCTTTGCATCCTCAGCACCTAGCACAATCTGGGTCAGTGAATGTTTGTTGCCCTGAGTGATAATAAGACAAAATATAATTTATTTTCTCTTTTGCTAAGTCATTCTGTAGTTATTCATTTTCCTTATGGATTAAAAAAAAAAATAACAGCTTTATTGAGATATTCCATACCATGAAATTCACCATTTTAAGGTATATCATTCAGGTGGTTTTAATATATTTACAAAGCTGTGCAACTATCACCACTGTGTAATTCCAGAACCTTTTTTCATCACCCCCAGAGAAGCTCAGTGCCCATTAGCAGCCACTCCCCAGGCCAGGGCAACCACTACTCTGCTTTCTGTCTCTATATATTTGCCGATTCTAGACATTTCATATTAGATTTATATACTGTGGAGTCTTTTGTGGCTAGCGTCTTTCACTTGCCATAATGCTTTCAAGGTTGACACCTGTTATAGCAGTACTTCACTCTTTTCTAGCCAAATAAAATTGCGTTGTATGGGTATACCATATCTGTTTATCAGTTGATGAACAGTCGAGATGTGTTCACTTTCTGGCTATTAGGAATAATTCTGCTGTGAGCATTTGTGTAAACGTTTTTGTGTGTCTATGTGTTTTAATTTCTCCTGGGTATACACCTTGGAGTAGAGTTGCTGGGTTGTATGGTAACTCTACTTTCATCATTTTGGAGTTTTGCCAGTTTTGCAAAGTGAGTGCACCCATTTTTACAGTCCAACCAGCTATGTTTACAGGTTCCAATTTCTTTATATCCTTGCCAGCACTTGTTGTTGGTTTCCCTTTTTGATTTTAGCC